GGAGAGGCAGTTTCTGTAAGCAACACCAGAATGTTTCCTTCCTGCCTTCCTTACAGGATTAGGCCAGTAATTTCTTCTAACAACCGGTTCTCCGAACTGCTTAGAATGTTAACAACCGGTTCTAGCGAATAGGTGCGAACTGGTAGAATCCCACCCGAGAGAGGGTGTACATGCATCTGGAAGCTGAGGTTGAAGATGCTGATGTAGAATCTACTTTTTATTTTAAAAAAAATGGAGAAAGGGTGTAAAAATTCATTCATTCTCATTTTTTTTGCATGTAATGTATATGCTGTGACCATACGTCCTTAATTATGCAAACAGCCCTTGCTTAACCAGAGATTGTTTTGCAACATTTGAAGTTACAATGGCCACAGAATGGGTGCTTTGGGGGTGTAGATAATTTCCCCCCTGCCTGTCATGTAACTCCATGTAAGGCAGGTCAGCCTTATTGCTTGCTGTGCTATTCTGTCAGGTTAGATCTGCAACCCAGGGTGGCTCTCAAGAGTTATATAAAACAAAAGGCCACAGAAACATTAAAAACAACAAGCAACCAAAACAGAAACAAAGCGACCCATCTCCCTTGATTCAACCAGCAGGGTTACCTTCCCACTTGGTGTTTAACCTGTCTCACGCTTGAGGGAAAGTGCAGTGACGTATGGTTTTTCGAAAAGGGCGGTGTCAGGATTCCGGCAGTTACCCCCAATTTAAATCATTTTTTGAGCCAAACTTCCAAAACCTCAAAAGGATTTATTGGGAGTTAAACTGTCCAGCACTGCTTAGGTGTAGCCGACTCTGAGGCGCATAATTCCTTGTCACCCTTGAACCCCGATTTTCCCCCACCCCCTGGGTGTATCATAATTCATATTCTCCAATGGGACGCATCCATAGCCAAGAGTCATCAATAATGCTCACCAGTTAGAATTTTGCACGGCAGAAACTTCGGTCACCTGGTTACTATTTTTGAAAACATTTATGGAATGCAGTTTCGGTTTGCAAGCTGCTACATTGCTCCCCCCTCCCTTTCTGCTGGCAACTCTAAAAAGACCATACAAATATTTTATGAGTTGACAGGTGGGAGCCTGCTGGGTGACATTGACAGTGATATAAATATGTGCATGTGTGCGATCTAAGCCGGAGTTCCCCAATGTTTCCGGCTTTGCAGACCGGTGGGGGGCCGGGAGAGTGGGATGGTTCCTTGCAAGTGGACAGCAAGCACACGCAGTTTCATTTGCACGAGGTGCAAACACAAGCGCCTGCCACTCACTTAAATGGAGCACAGGCGTGCACACTCGCCTGCTGGTCACGCAAGTGACAATGTGAACGCTCGCCAGCCGTTTCCGCAGCTTGGTTGCAAACCCCTCATGGCCCACTAGTGTGCCTTGGCCCACAGGTTGGGGGACCCTTGATCTAAGGCAGGAGTCGCCAACCTTTTGGACCTCAGGGACCACCAAACTCATAATTTTAAATCCTGTGAACCACTAATATGAATTTTGATGCTTGCTGTGACATTGGTGGGAAAGTTGGTCACATATTCCGGAACTGCAATAATCACAGGACTGGCCCTTTGGTCATCCCGGAGCAGCTGCTCCTCCACCTGGGTGCATTGGCCTGCCATGAACTGGAAGAGCTGCTCCGGGGTGACCAAAGGGCCAGTCCTGTGACTACTGCAGCTCTGGAATATGGCACCGACTTTCCCACCAATGTCAGCAAGCCACCCAGGGGCGGATTTTCCTCCCTCGCCATTGGTCTTACCTACCTCGCATGGCTCTACTCAAGACAAGGTTTGTGCTCGACCGAAGGGTGGGGGGGCCAGCAGGTGGGCGGGCCATGTGGGTGCCGCAGCCTTGTGTTCCTGCGCAGCCTGGATTAATTGCTTTGGGGGTGTGTGCTTTGTGGGGGACATTTCTCTACGCACCACCAAAATTTTATCGTGGACGACCAGTAGTCCCTGGCCCACCGGCAGGCGACCACTGATCTAAGGCATATTTCTCTCTTGTGATTCTTCAACAGGTTTTCCACAGTTACAATGGACAGCCTGTGGATGTGGCACACGTCTTTTCTCTGCATGCTTGTGCAGTCATCTCCAACTTGATATTTGGGGCTGCGGTGAGTCTTCCGACCTGCTGTGTAATTGCTCTGCTTTCCCGCGGATTGTCTTCTCCAAGCTACCTCTGTTTTTTCGTCCATCATAGGACATTTCCGCCATCAAAGAAATGCATAACTGTATGATCGAGCTGGTTGAAAATTGGAGTTCTGCTTCCATCCAGATTCTGGATTTTCTTCCCATCTTCAGGGTGAGACCTGGTTAGAGGGCCTTTTTGTGTGTGTGGGTGTGTGTGTGTGGGCGGGGTGCCTTCAGGTCAGGCTTGCAGATCTAAAACTGACATGCAACATTTTAGATCTGAGCCAGAGGCATTTCCTGGGAAAGAGTAAAAAAAAAAGTCAAGGTGCTACCCCAAGCATAGGGGTATGTCCACGTAACAGATAACAGATAACCAGACTTGGAAGAAACCTTGTAGGTCATGTAGTAGTCCAACCCCCCACCCAAGCAGGAGACCCTACACCATTTCTGACAAATGGCAGTCCAACCTCTTCTTGAAAGTCTCAAGTGATGGCGCTCCCACAACTTCCAAGGGCAAAGCTGTTCCATTGGTTGATTATTCTCACTGTCAGAAAGTTTCTCCTTATTTCCAGGTTAAATCTCTCCTTGTTCAGTTTCCATCCATTATTCCTTGTCTGGCCTACAGGCGCTTTAGAAAATAGCTCAACCCCTTCCTCTCTGTGGCAGCCCCTCAAATATTGGAAGACCGCTATCCTGTCTCCCCTAGTCCTTCTCTTCACTAGACCAACCATGCTCAGTTCCTGTAACCGTTCTTCAGTCCCCTAATCATCCTGGTTGCTCTTCTCTGCACTTTTTCTAGTATCTCAACATCTTTTTTATAGTGTGGTGACCAAAACTGGGTGCAGTACCCTAGGTGTGGTCTTACTAAGGCTTTATAGAGTGGTATTAATACCTCACTTGATACCTCACGTATAAAAAGAGAAAGGGTTGTAATCATGAAATCACAACCACAATCTACTTTATCGACCTTCCCATGGATGATGTGACTGACAGACAGATAGGAAGATCACAGGTGTTTTTTTTTAATATTTGCAAGTAATAAACTTGGTCTAAATGAGCTTAGTACAGTATTTGTCAACCTTAGCCACTGTAAGATGGTTGGGGAAATCTGAGAGTTGAAGTCCAGACAACCAAAAGTGACCAACATTGAGAAAGAGAGGATTAATATATCAGGCTGGCCTTGGACAGATTTGCATTTAACTCCACATGTTTGGGATGGTCAACAAATGGTAGATTGCTGATGTTGCTCAAGGTTTTGCCTTCTTAATTTTCTGACGGACAATCAGAACAGATATCCACTCTTTCTGTTTTTGTCTCTGTCTCTATCTAAATGAATGCATGCATGCACAGGGGTTTTGTTCATGATAAAATGTTCTACTTTTTGATACCATAGACTTCCATTATCTGTAGCAAACGTGGGCCGGCAGGAAGTTAAATGTTTCATAAGTTTCCATCACAAGGGAAAGAAACTAGACTGAGAAGGATATCTTACTAGATTGCACTTCTGATGCTGATATATCGTGTGGCTTATTAGAATGTCATAAATTGGTCTTGCACATGCCAACTGCTGAAGGACAATCAGTGACCATTGAATGTTGAAAACAGCCCAGTTCTCTGCACATAGAAAATTTGGGAAAGAAGCTTCTTCTTGTTCTTGTTCTTGTTCTTGTTCTTGTTCTTGTTCTTGTTCTTCTTCTTCTTCTTCTTCTTCTTCTTCTTCTTCTTCTTCTTCTTTTTCTTCCTTCTTCCTTCTTCCTTCTTCCTTCTTCTTCTTTCTTCTTCCTCTTCCCCTTCCCCTCCTCCTCCTCCTCCTCCTCCTCCTCCTCCTCCTCCTCCTCCTGGCCTCGTTTCTGTACTCTCTTCTCAGAAGAGCCCAGCTGCAGCCGCATCTGAGTTGTAACCCACAATGTTGTTTTTATTTCTTCATAAAAGACAGGAGGGAAGAGCAAAGCCCCATTTTGGACTGAAGCCTTGGGGCAAGGAAAAAAGGGATTCAATGTTTTGCTGGCTGCAGCCACCCACCCAAGGCAGTTTCCCCAAATAACCTCTTCCTCCTCCTTCTCCTCTTCCTCTCCCTCTCCTCTTCTACTTCCTCCTCCTTCCCTCTCCCCTCTTCTCCCCTCCCTCTTTTACTACTTTGGGTGTCGACAGAGATACAATATTCCTAAAATGTGAAAGGGGAATGGTCAAGGAAGAAATGTGGGAGTCCCAAGTGTTTGTGCTGAAACCAACTTCATTCAGATCGTCTGCTGTGCCCTAGGTCTTCCCCAACCCCACTTTACGGCACCTGCTCTCCTGTGTCAAAACCCGGGATGCCTTGATCCAAAGCCAGATGAAGAAACACCAGGTGAGAATGTGGAGAATGGCTACTCCAATAAAGGCTATACAGGTAATTCTCGGCATGCAACGATTCGCTTAGCAACTGTTCAAAGTTGCGATGGCATTTTAAAAAGTGACTTACCCCCTGTCCTCATACTTACGACCATGACAGGGTTCCCCACAGTCACACAATCACGATTCAGATGCTTGGCAACTGCCACATATTTTCGATACTTGCAGCATTCTGCAGTCACGTGATCACCATTGCTGATGGAAAGCAAAATCAGTGGGGAAACCGGCGGGAAGTCGCAAGTTGCAGTCACATAATGTCTCATTTAACAACTGCGGCAGAAAAGGTTGCAAAATTGTGTGCGGTCACTGAACGACCCCCACTGTGTAATGAGCAATCTTCTGGTCCCTTTTGGTGGCTGTAAGCTGTAAGACTACCTGTATAAAGTTAACCTTTTTTTTTTTTTCACGGAGGCTCACAGACAAGAGGATGACATGAGACGAAGAATCTACTAATTTAAGAGCAGGAATGACGAGAAGATCTTGCAGTTTTACCACCTTGCTAAAATGGTCCAGTGTTTATCACAAAGATGGGGGAAGCCATATCTCGTCAAAAGTTACTGGAGAGCAATTCCTATCAAAAGGGACAAGAGACAAGGAATTATTGGGACTGGGCCCTGAGCAGTTGATGGTTCACTGATGGGATGAATAGATGGATGAAACCAGTTTGTCTTGATTGATTGTGTTCTGACCCAGCCTTAGCAGAAACAAGAAACAGACCCCCTTGTCATGAAAAACCCCTTTTTATTTACCTCTTGTGAATGAATTGGATTCACCCACCCGAAAAGTCCAGGCAATAGTCCTTCAAGGAGTCAACTGCAGTACAGATCTTATCAGTTCCTTGCGATAATTGCAAGGCCGTGAGCCGTGAGCGGCAAGCAGTCTCTGTGACACAAAACGCAATGAGCAAAATCTCCAGAAATACAAACTGTTGTCTCCCGCGACGACCACTCCCCTTTCCTTATATATTTATTTCCCAGCCAGGAAGGGGCCATTCAGCATCCACGTGTGCTTTGCTTCCCGAGTTGACTCCTTGTCCTCTGTTGCTTACCTCTTCTAACTGCTCTGCGCATATGTGCATGTGGAACAGGCCCCAGCTGTTCTTCCTCCTCACTCATATCAACCTCCAAAAGCAGCTGCCTCTCTGGTGGCTGGGAAATGTTGGACGGCCCTGGCTCTATCTCTGTGTCTGATGCAGAGCATCCATCAGAGCCTTCCCCAGATTCCATCACTGGCCCGAATTCCTCCCCAACTTCCTCACTGTCCGAGTCCACCATCAGCTCCGCTGGTAGCTGGCAGGCCACAACAGATTGATTGATTGATTGCACACCCTCCTCTCTTTCTTAGGAGTCATGTAGCCCTTCCAAGATCCAGAACATGCTGGATGACATGCTGCAGCTTCTGCGTGACCATGGTACTGAAAAATGGGGGGAGACTGGCCTCTTGTTGGATCACGTCCACATGGCCATTGTTGACCTGCTTATTGGAGGCACGGAGACCACAGCAACCCTGCTCACTTGGGCTATTGCCTTCCTGGTGCATCGCCCTGAGGTAGGATGAACGGTTTGCTGGTGGCGAGAAACATGGTCCTCTAAATCAGGGGTCGAAAACCTTTGGGACCTCAGGGACCACCAAACTCATAATTTAAAATCCTGTGGAACCACTAATATGAATTTTGACGGTGGCTTGCTGACATTGGTGGGAAAGTGGGTCCCATATTACAGAGCTGCAGTAATCCCAGGACTGGCCCTTTGGTCATCCTGGAGCAACTGCTCCTCCACCCGGGTATACTGGCCTGCCATGGACTTGAAGAGCTGCTCCGGTGTGACCAAAGGGCCAGTCCTGTGACTACTGCAGCTCTGGAATATGGGACCGACTTTCCCACCAATGTCAGCAAGCCACCCCGGAGAGGATTTCCCTCCCTTGCCATTGGTCTTACCTTCCAGTTCCAGCTTGCAAGGTAAGGTTTGTGCTCGGCCGAAGCGTGGGGGCCAGCAGGTGGGCGGGCCATGTGGGTGGCGCAGCCTTGTGTTCCTACGCAGCCTGGATTAATTGCTTTGGGGGGAGTGCTTTGTGGGGGACATTTCTCTGTGGATCACCAACATTTTCTCAGTTGGTGACCACCAGTTGGCGACCGCTGCTTTAAATCCCTCTTTGGGGGGGGGGGCACAGTTTACCTTTCAGTCAAAGATCTTCTCCTGCTTCTTATCTCTCTTGATTTCTCCACGCAGGAGGAAGTGGATCAAAGTTATCGGCTTTGACTGGGGAAGCTGTGGCCTTCCAGTTGTTGGGCTACATCTCTCTACATTGTTCCTCACCACCTGCCATGATGGTGGGGTAATGGGAGTTGGAGTCCTAGAAAAAAAAAGGGGGCCATAATTTCCTCTATCAGAAAGTCAAACTTCATTGAATGTACAGGAAGTTCTCCCTTAACGACCGCAATTGGGATCAGTAAAAATGTCACTAAACAATGAGATTATTATCTCATTGGCCACACTGCTTAGCAATGGTCGTTTTTGACAGTTCTTGATTGCGACCGTTAATCAATTGTTAGGCAAGGGCCCACCCAAATCTACCCTTTTCCTGGCTTGGTCCCTCCCAGCCCCGGCCTCACTTCTTCCAAGGGAAAGGACTGCCTTCCCTTCAACTCCCCCACCCGCCTTTTACTCCCATCCCTGCTCTTTTGGCTGGCCTGCACAGTGACACTCCTCGGTGGTGGTGGTGGCAACACTGGGTATCAGTCAGTGGTGGGGTTCAAATTTTGTGGCCACCAGTTTGATGGGCGTGGCTTGGTGGGCGCGCTTTACGTGCACACGCATGTCAAATGTGCACTTTGTGGAGGCGCAGAGGCGTTTTAACTCGCCTCCTGCAAGCCTGCATGATCCTGGCCGCTTCAACAGCTGCCGCGTGGCACTATTCTGTGCCGCGCAAAGCAGCTACACTTCATATTCACTTTATAAAAGTGAGTACAGGAGCCCAGGCGGGCAGGTGGGCCCAACAGCAGAGCGGCGGAGAGAATGGGTTCGGTCTCCGCTGCTCATCGCTCCTACCGGCTTGCCAGAACTGGACCGAACCGGTCAAATACCACCACTAGTGTCAGTGTTTCTCAGGTAGACCAGTCAGGAAACATGACCAGATGAGCTATTTCTACTTTATTTTGAGGATACACTAACAGAATCTTGCAAGTCTGAAAGTACAAATCTCCCACCATTTCTTTTATGGCCTGAGAAGTTAAAGATGAACCCTTCTGAGCCACTTTCGTACCAGTTATGCAGACTACGCTCTCTTCTATCAGACCGATCCTTAGGCCAGGGGTGTCAAATTCAAGGCCCATGGCCCGACTCTGGTCCATGGGGTTCTTAGATCTGTCTCGCAAGGCCGCCCTGGAAACAGTGGAGGACTAGCTCATGGTGACCTGTTAGCAAAAACAGAGCTTGAGCTCCGTTTACATCGGCAGAGGGTTGCAGAAGGCCGTCCCAGCTGAAAATGGAGCTCGGGAGCATGGCTTTTATTGGTAGAACACTCGGGCCGCCAAAGGCGCCCCTGACAAGAGTGATGTCAAGATGGCCACATCCCCTGGCCACATACACCCTGCTCCCCCCAGGCCAAACACAACCCTGACGCGGCCCTCAATGAAATCGAGTTTGACACCCCTGTCCTAGGCAGTATTTCTTTGTCCCGTCTCTCAAGGTTTTCTCATGTCCCATTCCAGATAGTCCTTGACTTACAACCATTCAATTGAGGTTACAACAGCAGTGGGGGAAAAAAGGGATTGATGACAATTTTTCACCCTTATGACTGTTGCAGCATCCCCATGATCATGTGATCGAAATTCAGGTGCTTGACAACTGGAATGTATTTATGAGGGTTGCAGTGTCCCTGGATCGGGAGTGACCTTCTCACAAGAAAAGTCAAGGGGGAAGCCAGATTCACTTACAAGCTATGTTTTTTTTTAAAAAAAGTTATTTCTTCAATGTTTTAACATTTAAAAACAAAGTTCCGCACCGTACAACATTACTATAGCAGTGTTTACATTGTAAATATCTTCTATTGACGTGTGATACATCTCTGTATTTGATTCGTCACCATTCTAGGCATTTTATACATATATACATTTTTTATTTACATTTATTTACCCGAAAACCTTATTGTTTTGTAGTTTTGTAGTATTACATAGATCCTTTGACGCCTTTGCGTCTTATTCTTATCCATTCGTACCAAACGTCCCCTTACAAACTATGTTACGCCTTAACAACTGCAGTGATTCACTTAACAATTATGGCTATACTATATACTATACTATAACTATATATACTATACTATAACAATTTATGAATATAAATTTTTGGCTCAGTTGGGGGGGAGGGTCATACGTCGAGGCAATCCTGTATATCACTCTTCACCAATGGAAGGCTTCCTGCAAAAGTCAACCTCTCCAAAGCTTTATTACAACTTCTTGCTTAGCAAAATACATTTGGGCCTCAGTTGTGCTCCTTAAGTCAAGAACTACCTGTCAGCAGCCTCAGCCTGCTTCTGTTTTGGCCTTAGTGCCACTGCTGCTGGGGGTGGGAGGGCGTTTCAACTCCTGCTCCACAAAGCCCCATCTGTTCCCAGTGAGTCTTTGCTATCTTCTTCCCACTGCTGATAAGTTGTGCCTGGAGGGGCCTATTTTGAGACAGCTGCGGTTTCGGGAAGGCCTTGGGGTTGCTTCAGAAAAAAGGCCTCGCATGACCCATGGCTGCCTTGCAAAAGGTCAGCTGGGCTTTGTCAGCAGTGGGAGGAAGAAGACAGCAATAGCAAATTCACTTAGAATAACCAGGGGTGCGATTCAACCGGTATAACAACCGGTTTGGTGAGCGCATGTGCTCCATGTTTAAAAAAGCTAATACTTACCTTCAACTGCAGCTGAAGAAAACAGCTGAGGTGACTTCTGGTTTGAGCTCCTTCCGCGACATGCGCGGTTTCGATCTGTGCTCATTGCCGGAGCTCCCCAAGCCGGCTGGTTTCGGGGCTAAGCCACCCCATAGAGGTGGTGAAGAGGGGGGAGACCGCCAGCAGGGTCGAGGAGAGCCGCATCTCTCCTCCCCAGCTGGCCATTACTCCCTTTTCCGAAGGTGGTTGCAGCGGTGGTCAGAAATGGCCACCTCAAAGAAGAACTCGACTGGAAAAGAAAGTGCAGGAAGAAGATAAGAAGAGAAAGTTTTGGTTGACCGGGTTAAATTGAAAAAGCAACAACATAAGGTACCCTGGAATTTAAACTATAAAAATAACATTGTTCCCAAAGAAGATTTTGAAGCAGCGAAGGAGGGAGGAAAGGGAAAGGATTTGGTTTTTTTTCTCCTCCCTTCCTTATACTGACAGCTGAGACTTAAGTAAGAAATTGACAAAAATCCACTTTGACATTAATAGGCATTTAAGCTGAAAATAAAATGTCAAAGGGACAATAAAGATTTTTGGATATTTAAAAACTTTTAAAAGCAGGAAAGGAGAGAAAAGAATAAAAGGGCAGGATCTGGAAAAATGGAGCAGACTGCCTGGAACTAAAAGGAATTTACAGTGAAACTTTAACAAGATTCCTAAAAGATACATTCCAACTGAAACTTTGTAACAAAATAATAGAACCCCAGGAAGAGAAAGTGAAAAAAGAAGCAAGAAGAAACAGCTTTGGATTATTTGGATTACTTGGTGGTTTTGGGATTTTTGGCTATTGCATTTAAATGACTAAATTGGGTGGTTGTTTAAAAGTGTTTAAAATGGCATCACTTCTAGAAGAACTGAAAATGGAACTTAAAAAACAGAAAGAAGATGCACAAGAAGGGAGAGGTTCTTTTGGCTTCGTATTTCAATTCCTAGAAATGGAAATCTGGAACTATGAGAAACAACAAGAAACGCTTGTAGAACAAGAAGATCTGGACAAAGAAGAAGCCATCTTTAATGATCAAGTAATTTTATGGGGGGGGAGGAAAAGGGGGAAATAGAGTGAAAAGTTTAAGATTTGAAAAAACAACCAAAAAAAAAGAATAGTTTGAAAAATAATTACAATATTAGAAAGCAACAGAAGAGGGGATTACAGAAGAGAGAATTAGAAGTAGAGAGACAAGGAGGTAAAAAGGGGAGGGAGAAGAAGAGGGGGAAGAAGGAAAGGAAAAGAAGTTATAAAAGACAGAAACAACATACAGAGAAACAGGGAAAAGGTATAAGGATTGAAAGTACAAGCCTGTTCAGAGATAGTGGGTGAAAAATTAATTGAAAAAGGGATTCTGCAAAGGTGCATAAGATAGTATTGTTATATTAGAAATAGAAATAATTTTAGAAAATATGATGACTAAAATGATGGATAAAATATTTATTGTAATATAGTGGAATGTTTGTTAATAAATAAATGAAAGAAAGTGAATGAGAGAATGAAATTAGAAAAAGATGGGAACATTTTAATTATTATTAATGATTTATAAAAATATAAGCGAAGAGAAATATGAAAAAAAAGAATTAATTGTGGAAAGCTTATAAGTGTTCACAAGGAAGTATGATATTCAATTGAAAAGAAAAAGATGTTAAGATTTTAATGAATATTAACTATAGAATTGAATTGGAATGGAATGACTGTTTTATATATATATATATATATATATATTTAAGGATATAGTGTGTATTTTAAGAATGTACCAAGCAGAATTCGATTGGAAGTTATGTATTATATTGAATGTTATAATCTTAAAGGTATAAATTGAAGTTTAAATAAGAATTGAATGGACAAAATCAAAAGATATAAAGGTGGCATACTCCAATTAGTAACTACAGGGGAAATTTTGTTTAATGAGAAAAGATAATATGAAATTGAAACAGGACAGACAAAAGTACAAATGTAATGATTTGAATTGAGATATGAGATAATTAAAAATAAAGTTGAGAAAATCAAAGGAGGGGAAAAACTATGTAGAAAATGTTTAATAGTAATAAGACATGGAATAGAACACAAAGATGAACATGAAATTGAGTTTGTGTCTGTATGAAGAAGTAACAACCCGTGATCATGCTACTCTCAAAAAAAGATATTTTATTTGTATTATGTTTTTTTTTCTTTGTGAAAACCCAAATAAAATTTATATTAAAAAAAAAGAAGAAAAAAACTGAGGTGCGGCAAACTGCTTTGCTGTGCGAATCAGTTGTGCTCTAACGAAAAGACACAAAGCACAAGAAACAGCAGGGACATGCGGGCCCACATGCTCTTTGGAGAGAACCGAACCAGGAGAATCCCACCCCTGAGAATAACTTATATAAACCCTATAGTGATTTACAGAATTCTCTAGGCGGTTTACAATGTCAACATATTTTCCCTCAACAATCTGGATCCTCATTTGACCGACCTCGGAAGGATGGCAGGCTGAGTCAACCTTCAGCCCGTCAGAATCGAACGCCAGGCTGAAGGCAAAAGTTAGCCCGCAATACTGAACTTTAACTATTGAGCCACCTTCAGATGGTGAAGGTCAGGTGGGGTGATGAGCACAGAATGGCAGGGAGGGTGGGTGAGGGAGGGCAGGTAGCCACAAAAGCAGAATCGGGTGAGGAGATAAGGCAGTTAGGGGGAAGCTGAAGCACACACTGTGGTTGTAAATGTGGGTGAGCTGCAAACCACCTGACCTTTGACCTTGTGACCAGGTTTTTGTTTTTTTTGCAAAGATTGCAACTCCAGCACTGTCATAAATTACGTCACTGAACAAATGGTCATTTAGTGAGGGCGTTCTATACTGTCTTCTTTCTTCCCAACATGTTTTCCCCCCCTTTTTTTTCTCTGCCACTCCAGATTCAGGAGCAGATCCACCAAGAGTTAACCACTGTCATCGGATCCCACCGTGATCCGACCTACAGGGATCAGGAGCAGCTGCCTTACCTCCGAGCCACCCTCTGGGAGACTCTGCGCCTACGTCCATCAGCACCTCTGGCTCTGCCTCACATGACCATCCGCAACACCAGGTAACAGGTTTCAAGGGACTCCCCGACCCTCCAAATCTGTCCTTGAGGAAGGGGATTCAGCTTCCCCCCCACCTCCTCCTGCATTCTGCCAGGTGCTCTTTCTAGCCAGGTCCCTGCCTTCTGAACATCCATGACCCTCCTTGGCACCAAACAGTCAAAGCAGTGGTGGGATTCAAAAAAAAATAAAACCAGTTCTGTGGGCGTGGCTTGGTGGGTGCAGCAGGGGAAGGATACTGTAAAATCCCCATTTCCTCCCCACTCCTGCGGGAAGGTTACTGCAAAATCTCCATTCCCTCCTCAACCCACTAACCTGCTTTCCTGATTAGGTGCCAAAAATCGGCTAGGCCTCTTTGTGACACCCCTGAGCCACTGCTTGTCTATCTCTTGTGGCTTCTACTCAAGTGTGTTTTAGAACCTTCGTGAATTCATTCTACCCGTGGTGGCTAACCTTTTTGGGTTCCTGTACCAAAAGTTGTGTGCGCACTGGTGCTCATGCGCTCGCGTGCCAGCACCCAGAAGGTAACGCGCACCCCCCCATGCCCCCGCGCATGCGTGCGCAATCTCCCCCACCCCCGTTACCTGCACTGCACCTCACAGCTGATTTTCGGCTGGTTTGAGGCCTTTTTCGGCTTCCCAGAGGCTTGAAAAAAGCCTCTGCCGATCGAATAGGCCCATTTTGTCACTTCCGGTATTAACAGGAAGTGATGAAACAGGCCTATTCAGCCTGCAGAGACTTTTTTTCAAGCCTCTGGAAGGCCGAAAAAGGCCTCAAACCAGCCGAAAACCAGCCGTGAGGCATGCGCATGCACAGTGAAGTAGGTTTGCCTGCAGCTCGCGTACTGGCACAAATGGTTCTGCATGCCACCTGTGGCACATGTGCCATACGTTCGCCATCATGGGTCTATACCATGACTCCATTTGTGATGGATTATGAAATGGATAATTATTTTTTTAAAAAAATATTATTGTAGAATTATTAACCCACCTTTATTATTTTTAAAAATAACTCAAGGTAGCAAACATATCTAATACACCTTTCTCCTCCTATTTCCCTCACAACGACAACCCTTTGAGGTAGGCTGGGCTATGAGAGAGAGAGAGAGAGAGAGAGAGAGAGTGACTGACTCAAAATCACCCAGCCATCTTTCATATCTAAGGCGAGACTAAAACTCGCCATCTCCTGGCCCAAAGTCACCCAGTCTCCTTTCATGCCCAAGAGAGGACTAGAACTCATCATCTCTTAGTAATTGGCACAAAGTCACCCAGCCAGTTTTGATACCTAAGGCAGGACTAGAACTCAACAGCTTCCAGGTTTTGAGCCTGATGCCTTAACTGCTAGACCAGGAGTCCCCAAACTTGGCAAGTTTAAGACTTGTGGACTTCAACTCCCAGAATTCCTGAGCTAACATGACTGGAGGAGGAATTCTGGGAGTTGAAGTCCACAAGTCTTAAAACTTGGCAAGTTTGGAGACCTCAGTGCCAGACCAAACTGAGTCTCTGATGTTCTCGGATGCCTATGAGACCCCCAATCTCAGGGCAAGCAAGAGGAACAAATTACATTGCTGAAGCCTTGTTGATATAATTGTTGTCTTCTTTTTCCTCTTCCTCTCACACCCTCTCCCAAGTCTGTCTGGTTTCTCCATCCCTAAGGGCACGACGGTCATTCCCAACCTCTATGGGGCCCATCATGATGAGACCAAGTGGCACCATCCTCTGGAGTTTAGGCCAGGTATTCTTATTTGCAAGAGAGAGAGAGAGAGAGAGAGACTGAGACTGAGACTGAGACTGAGTTCCTACATCACACTAACCCAGAATGAAATTTGCTTGGCTTTGGCTTAGTGCAGTATTCCTCAGCCTTGGCAATTTTAAGACAGATGGACTTTCCCAGAATTCCCCAGCCAGCATGTGGAAGACCACCTGCCTTAAAAGCGGAAGCAGTATGCTCTGTCCCATAATTGGGTAGACCAGGTTGCCTTGATAGACCTGTCCCACTGGAAAAAAAACACTTCACCTGTCTTAAAGTTGCCAAGGTTGAGAAACACAGCCTTAGTGTGTTGTGTCAGTGCATCTTATTGTGAACTAATCAGTAAAGTATGTTTCAGAAAACCATAGCTTAGGGCAGTGGTAGCTAACCATTTGGGGCTCCTGTGCCAAAAATTGTGCGTGTGCTTTCGCTTGTGCGCTCATGTGCCAGCACCCAGAAGGTAATGCGCACGCCCCTCACACCCCTGCGCGTGCGCGCACAATCCCCGCTGCCCTCTTACCTGCACTGTGCCTCACAGGTGATTTTCGGCCTCCCAGAGGCTTGAAAAAAGCCTCTGCAGGCTTTGCAGGCCGAATAATAGGCCCATTTCGTCACTTCCGGAAGTGACAAAACGGACCTATTATTGGGCCTGCAGAGGCTTTTTTCAAACCTCTGGGAGGCCGAAAAATGCCTCAAACCAGCCAAAAATCAGCTGTGAAGTGTGCGCATGCACAGTGAGGTAAGCATGTCTGTGGCTTGTGTGCCAGCACAAATGTCTTTTGTGCCAGCACAGGTGGCACGCATGCCATAGGTTCACCATCATGGGCTTAGGGCAACTATAGAGAAAGAGAGATAGCTTGGGGAAGAAATTAGTGTGAATTTTATGTTTTAGATGTCCAAATAAAAGTTAGGGTTTACCCATCATACTAAGCCGCATACATATGCAATTTGTTTTTGACCCAGCGAGATCAAAAATGGGGCGGCACTGTGGCTCAGTGATTAAGACGATGGGCTTGTTGACTGGAAAACTGGCAGCCCACGTTCGAGACCCAAGCACCACAAGACAGGATGAACTCCCTTTCTCGCCCCAGCTCCTGCCAAACCTAGCAGCTTGAAAGCATTAAAAAATGCAAGAAGATAAATAGGGACCACTTCAGTGAGAAGGTAACAGTGATCCGTGACATCATGTTGGCCACATGAACACGGAAATGTCTTCAGACAGCGCTGGCTCATTGGCCTTGAAACAGAGATGATGAGCGTCGCTGCCGATAGACACCAACAACTAGTAGAGTAAAATCCACAGGGACTCCTTTCTCTTTACCTAGTGAGGCTACGGGAATAAAGTCCCAAATTGCTTGAAGCTCGGATTTTATATGAATCTTCTGATTTCAGCTAAGCGTTTGTGGGAGCGGGTGAATGGAAAGCATGGCTTATTTCTGGCGTATTTGTTTGTTTATTTGTTTATTTTGCCCCATCCAAGCCTCTCATCCAATATTTCCTCTATCTATCTATCTATCTATCTATCTATCTATCTATCTATCTATCTATCATCCATCTATCTCATCTATCATCTATCTATCTATATCATCTATCATCTATCATCTATCATTCATCTATCTCATCTATCTCACCTAGCTATCATCTATCTACCTATCTATATCATCTTTCTATCTATCATCTATCTATCATCTATCATCTATCATCTTTCATCTATCATCTATCATTCATCTATCTATCTATCTATCTATCTATCTATCTATCTATCTATCATCTATCTATCTTTCTATCTATCTATCTATCTATCTATCTATCTATCATCTATCTATCTCTTTCTATCTCTATCTATCTATCTATCTATCTATCATCTATCTATTTATCTATCTATATCATCTATCTATCTATCATCTATCATCCATCCATCTATCTCATCTATCTATCTATCTATCTATCTATCTATCTATCTATCTATCTATCTATATCATCAATCATTATCTATCTATCTATCATCTATCTATCTATCTATTTATCTATCTATATCATCAATCATCTGTCTACCTACCTACCTACCTACCTACCTACTTACTTAATTATTTTAGCCTGCCTTTATTATTTTTATACATAATTTAAGGGGCTGAACACATTCAATATTCCTTCCTCCTCTTATTTTCCACACAACAACAACCCTGTAAAGTGGGTTGGGCTTAGAGAAGGAATGACAGGCTTAAAGTCACCTAAAAGCCAGATTAGAACTCGCAATCTCCTGGTTTCCAGTCTGGGGCCTTCACTCCTTAGACCAAAATTGGCTGTCCTTGTGAATCTGACCGGTTTCTTTCTTCTGTTCAGAGAGATTCCTGGAGAGTGAAGCCTCTGTGGAGGCCCGACGGAATCTGGTGCCCTTCAGCTGTGGGGCGCGGGTATGCCTGGGAGAAGCCTTGGCCCGCATGGAGTCGTTCCTCTTCCTTGCTTACATCCTGCGAGATTTCCAACTCTTGCCTGTGGCAACTGGATGCCTTCCTGACCTCAGGGGATCGTTTCGATTCCTTATTCATTGCAAGCCCTTCTTGGTGCGGCTGGTACCCCGGGTGAGGACCCCAAAGCCCGAAAAATGAAGCCTTTCCCGCCCTTCCTGCTGGGCGGGAAACTGAAATCGTTCACCTTGCTTTTTGTTAGTATGATCTTGTTAAGCTCACTGTCATATTGTGGGTGTCAGCCTTCAAGATCTTCCTCCTTTCCTTTGCTTCTTTCTGGCTGTCATGAGTAGCGGGGGGGTGGAAGGGGGAAATGTATGGGACGTGAGCTGAAAGTGTTACTAACTGATATTGTATAAACCGGAGAGGGTTTCTAATTCCTGCTTAGCTTTCTCTTCTCTGCGCAACTGCAACCCTTTATCTGAGTAAGCCAAGGTCAACTAATCACCACCACCTGGAGATGTCCGCATGATGAAGTTCACAACTTTTAATTGGAAGAACCGTTTGAACTATTGGGGGTGGGAACATTTCACTCCCTTGATATATGTGATGTACGTGCCTATTTCCCCAGATTCAGAATTTTCTTGTTGCTACCACTGACTTCCAGTAAAAGATATCTTTTCTCTAATTACAAGAGTCTAAGTATTTCTTTCCTGGATTTTGAACGGAGCACCAACTGACAGTGGGCTTCTGTTTCCCACCTTATTATTAATGAGTTTGCCAGTAACTAAAGTTCAAATCGATGTGCAATCCTTGTCCTTGGCAGGTTAGAACCCCTTCTTAGGAGATTCCACATTCCCCTTGGAGAACTTGCTTTGTGATTTCAAAGAACTGGAAACATTAATCAAAGAAACTCCTACTTCCTGAAAACATTCGTCAAAGAGACCACCCCTCTTCTACCACCATCTTGGTAGTTCTCAACTTTCACCTTGCTAACCAGTCGTGCATGGATTTTAGGACAGGTTTAAACTGAAGGAAGTCTTCATTTAGCAATGCCCTGATAGGAACATGGTGGCTTAAGTGGTTAGGATGCTAGGATGGAGGAGGCTAGGATAGCAAGCCTGCGTTCGAAACCCAAGCGCTGTTGTGTGGCAGGCTTGAGCTCCCATCCTTCGCTCCAGCTCTTGCTGGGGACATGAAAGGAGCCCTCAACTGGGCATCCCCTGAGCAACAACAATATCACCAGCTATTCCTTTCAACCTGGAAGTACCTTGGTGCTTCTGATAGGAGTGGAAAAAGAGAGAGAGAAAGTAATGTCCCGATAGCCTCATTTAATAATCATTTGCAGTTATCATTGTTAGGAATATAAGTCACCTAACAGGTATTTGGGTTAGAAATATATAAACCAGGACAAACATTTTAGTACTATATCTTTAAGGGAATGCAAGAGCATGCAATTGGGTGTGGTTTCTCAAACAGCCATAAGATGGAGCCAGAAACCTGGGTTGTTTAATCTTAGTCTCAGAAGAGAGTGCGAGTGTATCTCTGTTTCCTTCTGTTGGAAAGTATTGCCGTTGCTCCATTTCTTCTAATTGATTGATATTACTGGTTTTAATGTAAGTCTGTTACTGAACTGTTTTTGACACTGGACTTTGATATTTGGATTATCCCTGGACTGAAAAACTGACTGATTTATCTGTGAATGACTTTTGGACTGCCTATTTTGGACTTTGCTTAAACCTTTCTGGAAGTAAAAACCTACATTTACTGTATAGTGTATCTGTGTGCTGTATGTGTATTATTCCAACACTACTCTCTATACGTCTCCCTGTATGCTCTCATTCTCCTAACGGGGAATTACCTCAACAATCATGGTAATGAAAAAATGATCCATATGACTTCCACCCTGATGACATTCTGGAAAAGCTATTAAAGGCCTGGCTATTGTCCCAAGCTTTGCCACTGTGTGATGTTGAGCTTCTATTGGGTTATTGTTGTTGCTTGGTATGATTGATTTTAGACTGCTCCTACTTTTTTAGGCCGTCTCCTATAGAGTTGTTTGAGAATTAGATGGTCTGTAAATAAAATAAATTAAAAACAATCCAGAGAGGAACAGGAAGTGCTTTTGAATGCCTGTTTGATACCCATTTATACTTTTTAATGCTCACTGCTAATTCTGGTACAAAGTCCTGGTGAAGGACACCAGAGTTGGAAGCACCTTGGAGGTCTTCGACCACGGGTGGGTTTCAAATTTTTAACCACCGGTTCTGTGGGCATGGCTTAGGTGGTAGGTGTGGCTTGGTGGTCATGTGACTGGGTGGACATGGCTTGGTGGTCATGTTATTGGCTGGGTGTGGCCAACTCAATATCACTCACATTGAGGCACACATCTCCTTGTCTGGCCTCTCGTGACTGTGGGGATGCTGCAATAGTCATAAATGTGAAAACTGGTCATAAGTCACTTTTTTCAGTGCCATTGTAACTTTGAATGGTCACTCCACACAAGCAAAGTACCAGCAAAGGAGGGGGAAAAACTCCAGAGAAGTTTCTGAGACAGGAAGTCTAGTCCTGGCAAGAATGTAATAAGGGTTAACGGAGAGGCAGTTTCTGTAAGCAACACCAGAATGTTTCCTTCCTGCCTTCCTTACAGGATTAGGCCAGTAATTTCTTCTAACAACCGGTTCTCTGAACTTCTTAGAATAGATGCGAACTGGTAGAATCCCACCCTTGGGACAATGCTACCTTATGCCAAGATAATTTCTGCTGACTCAAGAAACAGGGATAGGTGGGTGGATAGCACTCAGAAGTGGGGAAAGGCCCACAGAAAAGAAGGGTTAACAATGAGACCAACACAATTGAATTGGCATAAAGTTGTCGTGGGCTGATAATAATACTGAGAAATGCCCAGAATCTTAACTACATTGGAGTCAACACTCTTTTGTTATTGAGAATAATTAGAGAAGACTCCGAAGCAATCAGTTCTGGGATGTTTTGCTAGGTGACATCAGATCTACCCTTTCCAGGGTAGTAGGTCTCACCAATTCCTATTCAGGTTAAGGACATTTCCACTTCACCCTCTTCAATGAGAATCAAAAGACCAAGCACCGTATTCGGTTGTAAAGCTACTACCAATTCTAAGTTGTTTTCCACCAGACTAAGCTGTTGTGGTTCACCAGCAGCTGGTGCAGACGGCAGCGGAGTCGGATAGTGAGGAAGAAAGGGGACCAGGCAGGGAGTCTGGAGAGGACTCAGACGAGGGTCCTGCATTCGATGCAGGGATGGGGCCAGGACCATCTTCAGAGCCTTCAGAGTCTGCCAGCAGCGAGGCAGAAGACCCAGGGGAGCCTGTTTCCAGTGCGCATGTGCATAGAGCTGCTAGAAGGTGAGAGCAGCTGAAGCAGAAGGGGCGACTCGGGAGTAAGGCTGGGAGGTGATTTATCCATAAGGGATAAAAGTCAGACCTCAATGACGAAGAGCTTTGCAGGAAGCAAAGCAGTTCAATAGATTCCGAGACCTCCTTGAAGCTCTGCGTATTCTGGTTGTTTTTTTCTGGTACTTTGGTTGGTTTCTGTTATAATTAATTGAACTTTTTTTTTTTTTTTTGGCAACATTGTACGGCACTGAAAGGCATACTCTTATCTGGGGGAAATGTTTATAATTAGTCCTGGCTGAGAATGCAAGTAATTCCCAGCGTTGCATTAAAATTGGTTTTGCTTTTAAAATAAGTTTGTATTTCATGAAGTTTGACGAAGCCTGGGTCAGAACATAAGCAGCCATTAAAATAACAAAACCCAAACCAAATTTTGAAGAACGTCACTAGTCCTCTTTTGTTTGTAATATTTGATTTTTATTTTAAACATTATCTTTTCCCCATGATCTAAAAATAACTTTTCCTCCCCAAGCACTTCTTTTATAGAAGAGTTTTATTCTCCTCCCCCCCTATAAAGAAATAATACTTTACAGCTTGCCTTTCCCTCCCACCCAATTTGTGCAAATATCCTGCCTCGCCTCAAGTTGTAAAAGACACCTTCAACGTTCCCTTAATGTCCCGTAAGAAGAAGAAGAAGAAAAGAAGAAGAAGAAAAAACTTTCTTGCGAACTCTTCCACCTGCTTCTAATATCAAGTGTCTTGTCTTGATGAGTATCACAGTCCCAGAGAAGCACAACTTTGTTCCCACATTGTGTTGAACCAAACCGACAAATCTGCTCGCCTCATCTTTACCCAGTTCAAACAAAAGCATTGGCCCAAGTCACAAATGTTAGCCCCAAAAGGTGCTGGACGAGCCTTGTGAAGCTGGGTTCGTGGAGGACAAGGTCTTGGTTGGGTCACTGATCAAACACATACTCTCTCTCTCCCCCTTCAGATCCCATGATCCTCCTCTCCAAGTTTTCTGTCCTGGAGCCAGCCTTGCCTTTGTGTCTTGGAGATCGTCTCTTGAACAGTTCAAGTCTTCAGTTGTGCTCTGTGATCAGATGGCAGGGGAATTGTGGTTGGTTGGTACAGTCAGCCCAAAGTTTAGACTCGATCTGGCTTTTTAAATTCATCTATTGCAGAGGTGGTATTCAGCAGGTTTTGACCAGTTCTGGAGAACCGGTAGTGGAAATTTTGAGTAGTTCAGAATACCACCTCTGACTGGCCCCGCCTCCATCTGTTCTCTGCCTCCCGAGTCCCAGCTGATCAGCCGGGGCTTCTTTCGTTGCCCTGTACAGGAGAACGGAGCTGGAAAGCAGGTTAGTGGGGTGGGGATTTTACACTATCCTTCCCCTGCCGTGCCTACCAAGCCAAGCCACGCCCACCAAGCCATACACACACAACTGGTAGTAAAAAAAATGTGAATCCCACCCACTGACCTATTGACTCCTTCCCAAGGACCCGAGCTAGGACGTGATAGGTGTCTTAGAATGCCAAATCCAGTCTAAACATCTAGTTATGGGACCAACCGTAACATTTCCACATTTCCAGAGAAGAAAAAGAAACACTTCAGTGACATAATTAGTATTTTGGGAAGGCTGCAGGGAAGTCTAATTAGCTAAAACTATTTGAGAAAGGGGGAAAAAAAACCAGGAAATTAGGATTTTATTAGCATTCTCCCTCTGTCCCCACTTTGCAAGTTATAATCCTAGCACTGTCTGGGTACAATCAGGACTCTGGGGTCCTTGGTGCTGTCTGAGCTTGGTTGTTTTCTTACATATGTTTCATTAGCAAACTAGGTAATCTACTAGGACTAGATAATGTAAACTGGGTAATCTAAAGCAAGTAATCAATGCTAGTTGATGTTACCTAATTTGGTAATGAAACCACTACAAGAAAACAACCAATCTTAGGGGGCATCAAGGACCCCACAATTCAATCCTGAGCTTCAAGTATTCTTTTCTATCTGGGACTTCTGATTTAAAATCTGTTCTTTGTACTAACTTATTAGTAAATTAATCATTAAAAAGTGTGCTCCTAATGCCTCATTTTGATCTCTCTTAATCTTTCAAAGGAAGTCTGTCTAATTCACTAAAGAGATCCAAGAAATGGACAAAACGTTTAAAAGATCAAATTGGGAAGTCATTTCCCACAGCTGTATTGCATTTGCCTCTCTGATTTTAGCCTGAATATTCTGGCTAATCCTGACATTCACCTCAGATTTTCTCCAATTCCAGGTATATCACCAATATTTCTCTTAATTCTGGATGGACTTAGTCCAACACACAAAGGCATCAGGTTAGGAAAGGAACAGTGGCTCTTAAAATGTTTGGCCCAAATGACACTTTTCCTATTCTTGAATAATGTCATTCTCCCCAGAAAAGACCTGACTCTGTTGTTATATAAGTGTCTCACCAGTAGTAGTCCCAAACTGGACCCACAACTCTCAAACAAAATTTACATATTATTTCATTAACCCCAGGATTAAATTAATCAAATTATCAGTTTGGGGTTAACTGTCCCCAGTTTAAAAACCACTGCAATATAAAACACATTACAATGATATACCTTACAATTATAAAATTGTAAATTATAAACCTGCAAAATACAATTCTTCCCTATGAAGTGCCCCATCACCAGGTTTTGGGTTCTGCTAGGAGGCAGGAAATTCCTATTTTTTTTCTGAAGGAGTCCGCTTGGATTTGGGCCAGACTTTTAAACAAATCCTTTACTCTTGGAGAAAGTTTAGCGCAAGGAAAAAAGAATTTACCCATGCCATCTGTAAAATGCCAGGCTTCCATGTGCCAGAATTTCTTGAAAGAAAAATTATATAAATTCAAAGCTCGGCTTTTAAGTGAGAATTAATCCTGATTCGGTCCCTGAAATCTCGTATAAGGAAATGAGAGGAAGCATACAAAATTTAGGAACTGGCCTGTTGATTTTTTGGGGGGATATTATTATTATTATTATTGTGAAGGCAAGAATGAATTGGAAATCTTTCCAATGGTGGGCTACAACCAGTTTAACAACCGGTGTCTGTGAGGCACACAGCATTCAAAAACCACCAATTTGGACCTCTACAAGCTTAACTTCTAGGACAGCCCTGGTACGTAAAACAGCTGAAATCCACTGCGCTACGTGAATCAGATGAGCTGAAAAACACAGAAATATAGGACAGGAGAGGGCAGGGGGGGGGCAGGTAGGCGTGGCTTCCAAACCAGCAGCATCCCACCACTGGGTCTTTCCAATTTTCTCCAGTTCTTGTTCCACTCTGCAATTTTTTTTCCTCCCAGTTTGGTTCACACCTGTGCCTTTCGGTACTAATCATTTACCTTTAGGTGGAAAAGTTTGCAGAGCGAGAGGCAAAAAAGGTTACGGGTGAGAGAACAGCCTGTTGCTTGAGTTCACCAGGTTTCCCCGGGGAGGGCAAAAGGAATGGGGGAAAAAAATCAACAGGAAACCAAAGGAATGGGGGGAAAAAAAATCAAACCAACGTGAAAAGTGCTTTTATGTCAAGCTGCGTTCCCCAACACACTTATGACTTTAACTCCATTTTGAATGGCATTTGCAGGAGGAAGAATTATGGAGCCTCGGTTGGGAATGAGGCTGGAGAGGGAAGGGAAAAGTCTTTAGCAGGTGAGCTGAGGAGAAGCAAAAAGGGGTCAAGAAGGAGAGATTTGGGGCCAGAATCAGGACTATTGGAAAGTCATTTGATTCCCAGAACCAGAACTCGGGGAAGGGAAGGGAAGCGGGTTTTGGGGGCGCTGAAGTTTTGCCAGCCAATCTGATTTCTTGGCTCTCTTGAAAGCTCTTTTTTACAAAAATAAAAAATAAAAATAAAAATCACAGGTAGTCCTCAACTTACAACCATTTGTTTAAGTGACCCTTCCAAATGACAACAGCACTGAAAAAAGAAGTGATCGACAGCCAGTCCTTGTGCCACGGTTCGTGGGGTCAAAATTGGGGAGCTGGACTCAACCGGCGTTGTGTTTATGATGGCTGCAGAGATCCCCATTCGCATCTTTCCGACAAAGCAAAGTCCGAGGGGTAAGTTAGATTTGCTGAATGACCTCATGATTCGCTTTGCAGCTACCCTGATCTTGTGTGTCCAATCACACTTGGCCAATAAAGTATTCTAATTCTGATTCCTTAACAACCGTGATAAACTTGGCCGTGACTCAATAGTCGCCTTGCTTAATAATAAAAATCCTGCTCCCAATAGTAGTTGTAAATGGAGGACTACCTATGTTCAGATTAATTCCTTTTATCCTCTGAAATTCTATTTCTGAGCTCGCTCTTCCTTTTGAGTGAAGTGGATCTTCTGAAGTCTCCAAAGGTTTTTCTTTCTCCCGTCCCCCGCCTTTGGTTTTGACACATTCCTCTTTTTTCCTCAGGATGGGCCAGAAAAGCAGAACAAAGGCCGGGTGTGAGGTATCCTGTTGCAAAAGGGGGTTTGTTGCTGGGATTTTTCCGCTGTTGTCGCTGCTTTGCCTCCGCCGCTCTCTCCCTTAGTCCATCCCCGCGTCCCGCTCAGGACCGCTGCAATAGGCGGAAGCTGCTGGGCCGCAGTTTCATCTCAGTGAAAGGAATGGAAAACTCAAATCCTTTCCAGTTAAACCAGTTGACACCCTGGAATGGAGGAGAAGAGAGGGGATAATACGTGAGGAACACAGAGCCGAACCTGTAAAAATCTAGATTCCTCCCCTTTCTGCCAAAGGAAGAGAAGTGAAGTCAGAGAAAGAGAGAGAGAGAGAGAGAAACTGAGGTAAAAGTGTTTCATACAGGTAGTCCTCAACTGACGACCACAATTGAGCCCAACATTTTTGCTGCTAAGTGAAACATTTGCAGGGGTGGGCTTCCCAAATATCAGTAACTGGTTCTCTGCCCAGTTGCTGGGTGGGTGTGGCCATGGTGGGAGTGGCCTAACTAGCCTCCTGCACCACGGTGGGGGGGAGGGGCATTTTTGCCCCCCCCCAGGCTCCAAAGGCTTTCCTCGAGCCTCTGGGAGGGCGAAAACGGGCTCCGGAGGCCCTCCAGAGGCTGGAAATGGGCCTGTTTCCAGCCTTCTGGAGCCTCCAAGAGGCCTGTTTGTCACCTTCCCCAAGCCTGAAGGAGAGATTTAACCTGAAAATAAGGAGAAAGTTTCTGACAGGGAGAACAATCAACCAATGGAACAGCTTTGCCCCCGGAAGTTGTGGGAGCGCCATCACTTGAGACTTTCAAGAAGAGATTGGACTGCCATCTGTCAGAAATGGGGTAGGGTCTCCCGCTTGGGCGAGGGGTTGGACTAGATGACCTACAAGGTCCCTTCCAATTCTGATTATCTGTTATCTGTTATTTATCTGCCTTCGTACGGGCCCTGCACTTATCTGGCATCCAAACGGGCCACATGGAGACTATGGGAGGAGCAGGGTGTAGTGGGCAGGGCCAGCCAGGGGTGGGATTTATACCGGTTCACCAAGTCAGCCATAAAACTAGTTATGGATTTTCCCGAACCGGGGAGAACCGGTAGCAACCCAACCCTGAACATTTCTCAAGTGAATTTTGCCCTATTTTACGATCTGGCTTCCCCTTTGACTTTGCTTGTCAGGAGGTCACAAAAGGGGATCACAGGACCCCAGGACACTGCAACCGTCATAAATGGGAGGCAATGGCTAAGCGTCCAAATTTTGATCACCTGACCATGGGAATGCTGCAACGGTCGTAAGTGTGACAAACGGTCCCAAGTCACGTTTTTCAGCACCATTGTAACTTTGAGCGGTCACTAAATGAACCGTTATAAGTCGAGGACTACCTGTCAACGGTCCGACTGACAAACCCAACCAAAGCAAGCACATGCGAGATCTTCTGATGTCTGAATGCAAAACTTTATTGAGCACATCATTTGGCACCGATGAAGCCAAAACCAGCTCTACCTAATTCCCATGCAAGCCCACATACAGTAGTTGCAATACCCTATTAGTGCAGGTCACATTGTCCAATGGAGAGTCATTATTTTGCTATAGAAAAAGTCTTGGCAAACATCTGCCGATGTGTCCTTGGCTCTCATGGCTCTTCTTCTTGAAGTCTGGAGCCTGCATTCCATCTCACCTTTCCCTCCCTACTAGTTTCTTGGCAAGTTGAGAAGCGATAATGGTTGCAACAGCATAAGTGCACTTTGAGATTGATTGTACCTCTATGCTATAAGCCAGCAGTTGCCAACCGGTGTGGGCCGCAAGAAAATTTTGGTGGGCCGCAGAGAAATCTCACCCCCAGAGCACACCCCCCCCCAAAGCAATTAATCCAGGCTGCGCAGAAACACAAGGCTGTGCCGCCCACATGGCCCGCGGGAACCCTCCCCGCCTACTCACTCCTTACCCAGCAAACTTGCCTGCTAAATTGCTATTTTTCCGACCATCAGCTGTTCTGCTGTGCCAGGAGATTTAGATTAGCTAGGAAGCAGGAAATGGTTGGATTTCTTGCTTTCTAGCTAGTCTTTGGATCTTTGGCGCTGCTTTTAAGCACAGCCGAACCTCCCTTAGGAATTGAAGGTTCTATTATTCAGTGCAGACTCTTGACAAGCAAATTTTATGTGACAGACTGAGCTAGCCGATGGCAGATAGATAGATCACTGAATGATTCTGTGAGCAACTCAATCTGCCTGCCTGTTTTCCCTGATTTGGGGTAAAACTTGCTCTTTTTTTAAATAAAAAAATCAATATTTACATACATGGTGTGTTGTGAGTTAATTTTGTGAGCTTGCTTGCAAGCAAATTTTATGTGACAGACTGAACTGGCCGATGGCAGATAGATAGATCTCTGAATGAATCTGTGATTCTGTAATCAACTTAATCTGCCTGCCTGCTTTGCCTGCTTTTGGGTAAAAGGTGCTCTTTTTTATAAAAAATTCAATATTTCTATAAATATTTATAATATTTACATACAAGCCATGCCCAACCAGTCACATGACCACCAAGCCACACCCACAAATTAGGCCACGCCTACAGAATCAGTAAGTGGTCCCTGGGATTTAAAATTATGAGTTTGGTGGTCCCTGAGGTCCAAAAGGTTGGCGACCCCTGATATAAGCCACCCAGTCGTTTGACATGAGATGGGTGGCAAATAAATTTCAAAAGAAATAAATAAAAGTGACCCAGCAAGAGGTCTACCCGACAAGGAGCCCACTTAAAAGAGTGGGAAACAGGAGTGCTTGCAGGCTGTGGTCAAAAAAAGTTAAACTGGAGGCCCCGTGGTATGCTTGAAATTCCATATATTAAAAAAGTGACTTAGGAACGTTTTTCACACTCACAACCGTTGCAGCATCCCTAGGGTCACACGGTTAAAATTCAGACGCTTGGCAACTGACTCATATTTATGACGGGTGCAGAGTCCCAGGATCACATGATCCCATTTCGCGACCTTCTGACAAGCAAAGCCAACGGGGGAAGCCAGACCATCTTAACCGCTGTGGCAAGGAAGGTCACAAAAATGGGACAAAATTCACTTAACAGCTGCCTCACTTAGCAACAGAAATCTTGGGCTCAATTGTGATTGTAGGTCCAGGACTACTGTAGCACATCTTGTTGTGATTTGTATCTGGGTTTTCCCCAGGAGGCTGACATCAATCTTGCAAAGCTCTTCCCTGTCTCCTTTAGCCTGAGAAGTGATAGGGAAGGGTCCAGTGGTGGGATTCAAATATTTCTACCACCGGTTTGGTGGGTGTGGCTTAGTGGGCGCACTTTGCGTGCATGCACATACTTTGTGCGTGCACGCATGCCAATCGTGCACTTTGCACAGGCGTAGAGGCGTTCTAACTCACCTCCTGCAAGCCTGCACGATCGTGGTCGCTTCAGCAGCTGCCGAGCGGCACTCTTCTGTGCCGCGCAAAGCAGCTGCGCTTCAAATTCAGAGGATAAAGGTGAGCATGGGAGCCCAGGCGGGAGTGTGGGCCCAACAGCAGAGTGGTGGACAGAACTGGTTTGGTCTCCGCTACTCATCGCTGCTACCGGCTCTGCAGAACCGGGCTGAACCGGTAGAATACCACCACTGGGAAGGTCTCTCCCGAGCCGATTGCCCTCTCCACTATTGAGCTGAGGGCTATGTTGTCTCTTATCTGATTGCTCCCTCGGTAGCATCTCTTGGCTCAGTCTCCCAAGGTTTTTCCCACATACCATTACATCATTCCCCCCTCTCCCCAAAGTACAGGCTACCTTTTTGTTCCATCCCACCTGCCCACAGGGGGAATTACCTGTTGATCACGGTTGTTAGCGTAGAGCCCGTTGAGGTTGGTGTAGTGGCAGTTGCGATACCACCATGCCCCACGGTAAGAAATGGCACAGGGGATGATGACCCGATTCGGATCCCGGTCCCGAGTGGAGAAAACATTCCCTGAGTGGTAGCTTAAGGCATCACCTGGGTGAAAGAGAAAGTGGGAAAGTGAGAGTGAAAAACAACCACAGTCCTACCTCTTGAATTGTGGGCTGCCCACAAAGGACTCTCAAGAATTATCTTCTTCCCTGTGTATGTGAATCCCTTCTGCTACAGGTAGTCCTTGATCTATGACTGATCGAAGTTATGATGGACCTCCCCAGATCGACTTACAACCCATTTTGAGAGAAACAATGGCTGCAACTCCCCAAGTCACATGATCACATGATCACATATTCATTCATTCATTCATTCATTCATTCATTCATTCATTCATTCATTTATTTATTTGGTTTGTCAATTGCTTACAAGATAATAGGTATAAGTAAAAACATAGTTATGAATACATGGATACATATAAGAAAAATAAAATAAAAATAAAAGAAACAATAGGACATGGACGGTAGGCATGTTGGTGCGCTTATGCCCGCCCCCTACAGACCTCTTAGGATAGGGGTGAGGTCAATAGTAGACAGTCTAAGGTTAAAGTTTTTGAGGTTTGGGGAAGAAACCACAGAGTCAGGTAGAGTATTCCAGACATTGACCACTCTGTTGCTGAAGTCGTATTTCCTGCAATCAAGTTTGGTGCAATCAGGTTTACCTTGAGTTTGTATCTATTGTTTGCTCTTGTATTGTTATGGTTGAAGCTGAAGTATTCATTGACATTCATTTGGGTGCTTGGCTAATAACCCTTGGGGGGGGGGGTGAATGGTCAGGGCTTATGTAGAATCCATCTCCAAAGCTTTGCTCTTTGAATGGTGGTAACTCAAGTCAAGACACGGTTTTCCCATCATTTCCCACTCCTAAAACCTTACTCCTAAAACTCAGATTTGAGGATTCTAGTCCTTCCCATATTTCTAACACCCCATCTACCCACGTATGCGTATGTATTCACTCAGGGCCTTTCCATAGGGTATTCTACCACTGGAGGTTTTCAAGAATAGACTGGACAACCTTTGGACTGGGATGGTATAAAGCCGTGATAGCGAACCTATGGCACACATGCCGCAGGTGCATGCAGAGACATTTGTGCGGGCACGCGAGCTCCAGTCAAACTTACCTGCACTGTGCAGGCGCTTGCCTCCCAGCTGATTTTCGGCCAATTTGAGGCTGTTTTCGCCCTCCCGGTGGCTTGAGGGAAGCCTCTGCAGTCTCGGGAGGCTGAAAAACTGGCCTTCCGGGAATACCGGAAGTACCGAAATGGGCCTGTTTTCAGCCTCCTGAGGCTACCGAGGCTTCCCTTGAGACTCCGGGAGGGTGAAAATGGCCTCCCCTGGGCTCCAGAGGCCCTCCCGAGGGCGAAAACGGATACTTCTGTATTTCCGGAAGGCCCATTTTTCAGCCTCCCAAGGCTGCAGAGGCTTCCTTTGAGCCTCCGGGAGGGTGAAAACGGTTTCAAACGGGCCAAAAATCAGCTGGGAGGTGTGTGCATGCGCAGTGCAGGTAAGGACGTGGGGCGGGGATGTTGCGTGCATATGCGCAGGGGTGGGGCGGGGCGCATTGCATTGTGGGGGGCCAGCTTGCCTGCGCTTTCGGCACACCACAACAAAAAGGCTTGCCATCACTGTCTCCTGCCTTGAGCAAGGGGTTTGACTAGAAGACATCAATATATGTTCTATGTTCATGGGAAGAACTATACAGGTAGTCCTCAACTTACAACCATTTATTTAGCGACCGTTCAAAATGACAACGGCACTGAAAAAAGTGACTTACGGCCATTTTTCACACTTACGGCCTATTGTAGCATTGCCCCTGATCATGGGGATCAACATTCAGATGCTCAGCAACTGGACTCAGACTTATGACCGTTGCTGCGTCCCAAGGTCATGTGATCACCTTTTGCGACCCTCTGACTGGCAAAGTCAATGGGGAAGCCTGAATTCACTGAACAACTGGGTCCCTTTGCTTAACAACTTGCGGAGATTCACTTAGCAATTGTGTCTGGAAAGGTCGTAAAATGGGGCAAAGCTCACTTCACCAATGTCACACTTCACGACAGAAATTTGGGGATTCCATTGAGGTCGTAAGTCGAGGCCCACCTGCAGATGGAAGATTTCCCCCCACAAAAAGGAACAAGACTGGTGCTTGCTTTCCCGGCAAAGGTGGAAGGCGGAAAGGATGAGGAAACCTGTCAATCAGGGCCCATGAGAAGAGAATCTAGAAAGCAATCTCTTTAAGCTGCTTTGTTTCCCTGCTGATTTCAATCACAGTGTCAACCCTGAAGTTGGCCTGACTGCAGCCATTTTATTTTCTTTGCTTCAGTGCTGACACAGCCTGGAGCTTGAAGGAGGGAGGCGGTAGAGATAGTTGGCATGTTGTAGCCCAAATAAAATTCTTTCCGCTGGGAACCTAGGACATTCGTGCAGGTGTTCGGCAGGAGAAGGGTGGGATCGTCTGTCATCTGACCAGGGGGAAGTGACAAAACTTTTACTTTTAATTAGGTGAAAATCAGTGGAACCGGTTTTTGTGCCCATATGACATGTCCCAATAAATTGTTCTTTGAGAAAGATGCCTGTCAGGATTCCGGCAGTGGCCCTAATTAATGTCAACTCATAAAATATTTCTATGGTCGTTTTAGAGTTGCCAACAGAAAGGGAAAGGGGGAGCAGTGTGGCAGCTTGCATTCCATAAATGTTTTCAAAGATAGTTCCTAGGTGACCGAAGTTTTTGTTGTGCAAAATTCTAACTGGAGAGTATGATTGATGACTCTTGGCTATGGATGTGTCCCATTGGAGAATATGAATTATGATACACCCCGGGGGTGGGGTGGGGGAAACCAGGGTCAAGGGTGACAATGAATAATGTGTCTCAGAGTCAGCTACACCCAGGCAGTGCCGGCATGTTTACTCCCAATAAATCTTTTTTTTTAAGTTTTGGAAGTTTGGTTAGAGCAGAGGTGATATTCAGCAGGTTCTGACCAGTTCTGGAGAACCAGTAGCAGAAATTTTGAGTAGTTCGGAGAACCGGCAAATGCCATCTCTGACTGGAGATTTTACAGTATCCTTCCCCTGTCATGCCCACCAAGCCACACCTATAGAACCAGTAGTAAACAAAATTGAACCCCACCATTGGATTTGAGAGTCATGATTAAAACGGAGGTAACTGTCGGAGCCCTGACAATTAAATCATGAGCTTCGAGCCAAGCTTCAAAAACTCCGGAGGACTTATTAGGAGCTAATATGTCCGGTATGACCTGTGTGTAGCCGATTCTGAGACACGCAATTCACTGTCACTCTTGACCCTGGTTTTCCCCCACCCTTCTGGGTGTATCCAAATTCATATTCTCCAACGAAACACATTCATAGCCAAGAGTCATCAATCATGTTCTCCAATGAGAGATTTGCGCGGCAGAAATCCCAGTAGCTTTGTTATAATCTTTGCAAGATATGAATGGAATGCACTTTCAATTCCGAACTGCTGCACTGCTCTTTCAAACTCCTTTCCTCCCCCCACCCGCCTCTCTCTGTTAGCAACTATAAAACGGGCATAGAAACGTTTTATGAGTTGACAATGCCTGCCTCGGAGTTCTCATTGTTGTGGACATATTACTTGGAATCCTGACACAGCGTCCCACAGCTCTGCTCACCAGCTGTGCCATGGTAACTGCCCAGGTGCAGGCGGTAATGGTCAGCTGGAGGGTCCACACGGAAGTTCTGATAGGTGGCGTAGACAGACTCATCCCCGGCACGGAGATCCACGCGTAGCTCGTAGTCCCCTGAAGAGGTCAGCTGGTGCAGAGCATTGTTTCCTGGAATCCAAAGAGGAAAAAGCGAGGATGAGTCTTCTGAAGGACAGGCTCAGTTGCATGTCATTCAGGTTAACAGAGTTGAAAGGGACCTTGTAGGTCAGTGGCCCCCAACCTTTTTTGTACCACGGCCTGGTACCGGCATCACAAAATTATCCACGGACCGGTACCGGCATCAGCACGCACAACCAAGGCAAGGCGAGCCGAGCGACCGGCCAGCCAGCCGTCCCCCGCTTCTCCCCGCCACCTTCAACTCCTCCTTTTACCTTTGTTGATGGGCTTCGGGACGGCTTCGGGACGGTCGCTCGGCTCGCCTTGCCTTGGGTGCTGAAAGAATCCTCACGCCTTAGTTTCGTTCGAAGCCGCCCCCCCCTTCGACGAAACTAAGGCGCGAGGATTCTTTCAGCACCCAAATGCCGCTTTCCAACTGACAACCGACAAGCTCACCCAGAAGCACTTTCTCAAGCGCCGTTGAAACAAGATGGTGGCGCCCACTTCTTTGCGGCCCGGTAAAAAATGATCCACGGACCGGTACCGGTCCGGGGCCCGGTGGTTGGGGACCACTGTTGTAGGTCATTTAGTCTAACCCTCCCTCCCAAGCAGGAGACCCTACACCATTGCTGACAGATGGCAGTCCAATCTCTTCTTGAAAGTCTCAAGTGCTGAAACTCCCACAACTTCTGAAGGCAAAGTTGTTCCATTGGTTGATTGTTCTCCCTGTCAGAAAGTTTCTCCTTATTTCCATGTTGAATCTCTCCTGGTTCAGTTTCCATCCATTATTCCTTGTCTGGCCTACAGGTGCTTTAGAAAATAGCCCAACCCCTTCCTCTCTGTGGCATCCTCTCAGATATTGGAAGACTGTTATCATGTCTTCCCTGCTCCTTCTCTTCACTAGATTAGACAAGTTAGTTCCTGTAATCGTTCTTCATATGTTTTAGTCTCCAGTCCTCTAATCTTGGTTGCTCTTCTTTGCACTTTTTCTAGAGTCTCAACCTCTTTTGTATAGTGTGGTGACCAAAACTGGATGCAGTACTCTAGGTGTGGTCTTACTAAGGCTTTATAGAGTGGTATTAGTACCTCACTTGATCTTGATTGCATTCCTCTGTTAATGCAACTTAGGATTGCATTCGCTTTTTTGGCTGCCGCTGCACACTGTTAGCTTATATTTAGCTGGTTGTCCACTAAGACTCCAAGATCCCTCTCGCAATTACTGCTATTGAGCCTGGTTTTACCCAGTCTATATGTTTACTTTTAGTTTTTTCTTGCCTAAGTGTAGGACTTTACTTTTCTCTACATTGAATTTCATTTTGTTAGATGCAGCCCAGTGTTCTAGTCTGTCAAGGTCCATCTGGATCTTGAGCCTATCTTCTTGGGTGTTAGCTATTCCTGCCAGCTTAGTATCATCTGCAAATTTGGTTAAGTCCCCCTTCTATTCCCTTATCAAAGTCATTAATGAAGATATTGAAGAGTACTGGGCCTAATAATGAGGACACCATTGGAAGAGTCCCCAGGTTGGGGACACATCATCCTGGAGAGAGAATTGATCTATGTGGTCACCATGGAACAATTTGATAATCAATCAATCTTTGGAAGGAGGTTAAAGCAGGAGTGACTCTTACAAGCGGAACCCTTATGGAACTGGTATACAACTGTGAAAGTTAGTACAGCCTTATTATCATTTCTACTTTTTTTTTTAAAAAAAATAAAGTTTACTATTGTATAACAGGGATGTCAAACTCCAGGCCCGTGGGCTGGATTCGGCCCATCGGGATGCTTAAATCCTGGAAATATCAAAGGACCGACCCGCGGTGCCTATGCCAGCCAAAATGGGCCACGGGGCCCCCCACGTGTGGCCCCCATGCTGTCTATTTTTGGCCTCCACAACCTACAGCAACACTGTGCCAACCAAAAACATTTTCAGCCGGCAGAGTGCTACAGGAGGCTGGGGAGGCCATAAACAGGCCACACGGAATCCACACGGTGTCTCCACACAGCCCGTTTTCGGCTGGCAGAGTGCTGCAGGAGGGACTAGATTGGACTGGATTACAATTATGTGGCCTCAAGTAAGTGCCTGATCTGAACAGAAAACAAGCAATGTCCTATGTTAATGCTACAGTTTAATGTCAGATTTTACGTACTGTAGGTACATTTAATCTACAATCAACAATCTATCATTGACAGCCATTTTTATTTACTATCCTGGAAATTGACCTCTGTTTGTGTTATTTATGTATTTATTTGTGGTATTGTATTTTTTATTAGTAGTTGAATCATAAAAATACAATAGTATAAATAGCTTTTCTGCCTGGAAGAGCAATTTACTATTAAACAATGGGGTATAAATTTAGAAATAAAAAGTTTAGTGGAGTATGAAGAATTGGTAATAAAAGTTTGCCAGTAATATCTGGTAGAAGAGATAGGAAAATGGTTATAGTAAAGAAGTGCGGAAAGAGAGAAGAGGAAAAAAATGCATCTTGAGCCTGTGTCAAATGTCTACCATGGCCAGGCCTACATCTGACCACGTCCACCATGATCTCACCCACCCTCTGAGGTCAAACACAACCCTGATGAAATCAAGTTTGACACCCCTGTTGTATAAAATACAAATAGAAATAAAGACTACGAGAGAATAAAGAAAAGTAAAGAAGGGGAGAGGGATATAAGATGAAAGGGAAAGAAAAAAAGTAGTGACCTTCAACTTTTTTGCTTCAGTAGAGTACAACATACGGTTATTTTAGTGATGCTAACCATTTCTGTAACACGATTGTCAGACTCAAAGCTTCATTTTTTTTCCTTGTTTCAAGCATAAAGTCCAGAAATGGGTTCTGTTGTATATTTGAATATTTGAATGTTCCATTCTGATTGGTCTGGCCAGACGGCGGGAAACTTGAATAGCCGTCATTGGCCAAGAGCCGCGAGCAGCCGCTATAAAAGAGGCTGCCACGGCTCCGTTGTTGTTCAGTTCCAGAGAAAAAATTAAAAGCAACTAAAGATTAACTGGTCTCGAGTTGTCTTTCCCACAACATAACAGGTTCAGCTGAGACAAGCCCTTATCCTTCTGTGGGCTCAGTTTCCAATTTGTAAAAGGACAGGGAGGACGAAATGATAGAAATATCTGGCTACACGGATGAGGAGACGCAGGCAACGTTATAGACTTACCTAGCCAAAATTCCCGGGTGAGGTTGCCAAAGCCAAGAGCATAATTTTGCCAGTCCCGCCAGAAATCCGTCTCACCATTCATCCGACGTTGAAAGACCTGGGAGGAAGGAGGAGGAAGAGGAGAATGAGGATGCCACGATGGAGAAATGAAGGAAAGAAAATTGATAGTAATCAGATATCAGAAAGCAATGAAACCCCAAGATGTCCTTCTACGTAATTTTGAGAGCAATTTTTCTCAATGTCTTATGGAGATTCTCAGTTATCCAGGTCATGGTTGTCCCAAAGGTGCTTTTTTTTCAAGAGGCAACTGGACTTTCTGGTTTTTCTTTGAAGACATTTCACTTCTCATCCAAGAAGCTTCTTCAGTTCTGGCTGGCTGGTGGGGAATGGAAGGATTTATAGTCCTTGCAGACATCTGGTCATTTGCATCCTTTTAGAGAGTCCTCTCAGCCGTTCCAAGAAAGCTTCACACCACTCAGGTGGCCCTGACGACAGAGATAAACCCCCAAGTGGCCTCAACAGCTCTCTAAAAGAATGCAAATGACTAGCGGTCCACAAGGAATATAAATCCTTCAATTATCCACCGGACAGTTGGAGCTGAAGAAGCTTCTTGGATGAGAAGTGAAACATCTTCCCCCAAAAAAACCAGAAAGTTCAGTTGCCTCTTGAAAAAGCACCTTTGGGACAATTTTTCTCAATATAGAGAAACATCTACATATGTCAGATTATGAAACATACATCTTAACATCAGTATGCATGTTTGACCCTTTCACATGTGAGTCACAACATTGCACCCAAATAAGTGAGGGACAGAACTTGTGCCAGGTTTCTGGTTTGTTGCTTGGTCTCCCTTGACCCGTAAAAAGTTGGCGCTATTGTGGTTCCATGTCCCACAACTTCACAAGGACTTCTGCAGGTATAAACACCAGAGCAGAGTTTTCCCACCTTGGCTACTTTAAGATTTGTGGACTTTTAACTCCCAGAATTGTGCCAGCTGGGGAATTCTAAGAGTTGAAAGCCCACACATTTTAAACTTGGAAAAATTCTGCCCTAGAATGCCCTTGTCTAACCTGGCACTTTCTACATCTCTTGGCTCAAAATGACCACTTTCTAAGAATAGCATGTTGGCTATGGATGATGGGATCTAACAGACAGATTTACAGAGTTGGAAGGGACTTGTAAGTCTTCCAGTCCAAAACCCCACCCAGGCAGGAGACCCTACACCATTTCTGACGAATGGCAGTCCAGTCTCTTCTTGAAAGCCTCCAGTGATGAAGCTCCTACAACTTCCAAGGGCAAGCTGTTCCATTGGTTGATTGTTCTCACGATCAGAAAATGTCTCCTTATTTCTAGGTTGAATCTCTCCTTGGTCAGTTTCCATCCATTATTCCTTGTCTGGCCTTCGGGCGCTTTAGAAAATAGCTTGACCCCTTCCTCTCTGTGGCAGCCCCTCAAATATTGGAAGGCTGCTATCATGTCTCTCCTGGTCCTTCTCTTCACTAGACTAGCCATGTCGAGTACTTGTAACCGTTTATGTTTTAGCCTCCAAACCCCTAATCATCCTGGTTGCTCTTCTCTACTTTTTCTAGAGTCTCAACATCTTTTTTATAATGTGGTGACCAAAACCGGATGCAGTATTCTAGGTGTGGTCATACTGAGGCTTTATAGAGTGGTATTAGTACCTCACTTGTTCCCGAATGTATCCCTCAGTTAATACAATTTAGGATTGCATTCGCTTTTTTGGCTGCTGCTGCAAACTGCTGGCTCATATTTAGCTGGTTGTCCACTAAGACTCCAAGATCCCTCTCACAGTTACTGCTATTGAGCCTGGTTTCACCCAGTCTATATGTGTACTTTTGGTTTCTCTTGCCTAAGACTTTTATTCTTCTCTACATTTAACTTAAATTCTATTGTCTGACAAATCTGGAGAAATTGGGGAAAGATGCTGCTTTAAAGACTTCTATTTGTTTCCCTTCATTAACACCACCCACCATTTAAAATTCTTCAACTGCCAATGTCTGTGGCTGAAAAAACGGCACACATGAAATCATGGCTGGAGGAAACCAGGATTCTTTTTCAAGCAACTACAGTTTGACCATCACCAACCGAACCATACTGTTCACACTCACAATCCAGCCTCCTCCATCTGTCTCCATGTCACAGAACACCCTCAAGGGACGTTCCTGGTTGCCCCCTAGATAAATTGTTGTTACTCGTGAAGCTCCTGGCCCATTCTGGATTTCTTCCGAGCAGTCCCGAGGGAACGGGTATGTCAGGTGCCCTGGTCAAGAAAGAAAGGGTGATCACTGGATCCATTCAGGGTTTTGGTCTTTAGGGAGCCCCAAAGGACCACAGCTGGTCTGTCTCAAACATAGACATATAGTGTGTTGAGGTAATTCCCCGTTAGAAGAAATGGAACAACGGTAATACTTTCCAACAGAAGGAAAGAGAAATACACACTCAGACACACTCTCTTCTGAGACTAAGACTAAAACAACCCAGGTTTCTGGCTCCATCTTATGGCTGTTTGAGAAACCACACCCAATTGCATGCTCTTGCATTCCCTTAAAGATATAGTACTAAAATGTTTATCCTGGTTTATATATTTCTAACCCAAATACCTGTTAGGTGACTTATATTCCTAACATAGTGTTATTACCAGTGGTGAAGGACGTGGAGATGGGAGCTGTTGGTGTGCCCCTCCTCACTGCCTGGACTTGGACCTGGTACCGGCTTGAAGGAATCAGATCTTGAAGTTCGTATGAAGTGACGGAAGCATCCAGAGGTATCTCCTGTGGAGAACAAAATAAAGGCGGGAAAATTTAGGCCAGCAATATATAAGGGCTTTGAGTTGTAGCTATATAGAGAACAATATATGTTCTCCATGTTCCAAAGGTGCTTTTTCAAGAGGCAACTGGACTTTTTGTTTTTTTTCTTTGAAGACATTTCACTTCTCATCCAAGAGGCTTCTTCAGCTCTGAACATCTTCAAAGAAAAAAAAACAGACAGTCCAGTTGCCTCTTGAAAAAGCACCTTTGGGACAAACCACGACTTGGATGACTGAGAATCTCCATAGATGATATATTAAATATTTCCCATAATAATACAACATGGAGAGTTGGGATCTTCGATGCTTTCTAAGCTTGGTTGTTTCCTTGCAGATGTTACATTTCCCAACTAGTTAATGTCATCAGTACACTGATGATGTTGTCTAGTCAGGGAATGAAACGTTTGCAAGAAAACAACCACAATCGGAGGGCACCAAAGAGGGCACTAGAGCTCAACCCTGAGCTACAAATATTCTATTCTATTAGAACATGGAAGGGATACCCTGTTTTCCCCAAAATACGACCTACCCTGAAAGTAAGTCCTAGCTTGATTTTTTACACGTGCACCCAATGTAAGCCCTACTCCCAAAATAAGCCCTAATTAAGATCCTGCCCACTCCAGAGTGCATGGGTAAAAAATAAGCTAGGGTGGGGATGGAGGGGATGGAGCTGCCTTACTACTTATCTTTGGACAGTTGTAGCCAGGCCTCACACACCCCAACACCTGCCTTGCCGGCCCATTTCTTCTGCAGCTGGCAAGGCTGGCAAGGCTTTCCTCAAGGCCTCTGTAGCTGATAACAAAGCTGTGGATTGATCCGGAGTTCTGTTATCGACTGCAGAGGCCTTCAGGAAAGCCTTGCCAGCCGCAGAAGAAGTTTCTGAAGGCCTCTGGCAGCGAAAAGGAGGCCAGGAGCGACACGCACAAAGTGAGGTTAGTCAGTGGATGACATCCCCTGAAAATAAGACCTGCTGCCTTTTTTGGTGGCAAAGAGGTATAAAACAGGGTGTTATTTTGGGGGAAACACAATAGTAAACGTCATCTAATCCAACTCCTACTCAAAGTCTGCTTTTCTAATAATCTAGAAAGATATGCTACTTAACTACAACCCACGGCAAAGTAAGAGACCTTACTTTCCAAGTCAGCCTGTTCCACCAATGAACTAGAGCATAGAACATAAAGGAGACCTCAACTCATTGGTAACCTCACACTGCAGTGAACAAGGACATGCATTGAATTTTGCAGTTACAACAATTGTTGGCTGAGCAGGGACAGAAACAGCCAGAGAAATTATTGAAGACTGGGAAGCGGGGTCCTTATCAATCAACAGGAGTGCTGATTTACAATCAGCTCATCAGGTACTTAGGAGCCAAGAGTGCAGTGGCACAAGGAAACAACAATCAATGACTGAACAGCCAACTATCAACACCCTAACTAACAACTAAAAACAAAATACAATCAGGTACCTGTTCTGACCCGGGCTTCATCAAACATAATTAAACACAATCTTGTTTCAAAAACAAAACCTATTTTATTGCAACCCTGGGAATTGCTTTCATTCCCAACCAGAACTAATCTTAAACAGTTCCCCCAGATACACACATGCCTTTCGGTGCTGTGGAATGCTGCCAAAAACAGAAATATCCAATTAAATTATAACAGAAACCAACCAAAGTACCAGAAAAAAACAACCAGAGTACACAGAGCTTCAAGGAGGACTCGGAATCTATTGAACTACTTTGCTTCCTTCAAGTGTTCCTCATTGATGTCTGACTTTTATCCCTTATGGGAGGGGCAATCACCTCCCAGCCTTACTCCTGAGTCGCCCCTTCTGTTTCAGCTGCTCTCGCCTTCTAGCAGCTCTGTGCATACGCGCACTGGGAACAGGCTCCCTTGGGTCCTCTGCCTCGCTGCTGCCAGACTCCGAAGGCTCCAAAGGCAGCACCCCACTCCCAGATGGTCCTGGCCCCATCCTTGCATTGGACGCAGGACCCTCGTCCGAGTCCTCTCCAGACTCCTACCATATAAATACAACATGCTGGAGAGAGAGATTGTTCCCTGATGATGGGCTCCAACACAAGCCTGAAAGCTTGAAACCTTTTGGTTCCAGTGATTGATTCCGATTGGATCTGGCAACATTATCCTGGGACACGTGTGTTTACCTTCATTTGCCACAGAACATAAAATATAAACTAGCTTGCACTACGAAGGAGTTTCTTTCAACTGGGAGCATATGCAAGAAAGAGGTGGATTTTTTAAAAAAATATCAAGATTATGGGCGTAATTTAATGCAACCCTTTTGGGTAGCCATAAAACTTTCAAAACCAGAGGTTTTGGGGCCAGGATGTAAGCAGAGCCCAGTCTGTGCGTTTTATCTTATTTATTTTTATTTATTTATAAATTTTATACTGTCGCCTACTCGCACATGGCGACTCAAGGCGGCTTTCACGGACACAAAGACACAACATCAAAGAAACAAAAATGAAAAGAAGGAAAAAATAATTGGGGGCTGATCAAGGAGTTGGCTATTTTTATCCTTGTTTCCTTGTTTTCACTTGCATGGTGTTTATTTTATTTTTTATTTTTTGCCTTGATGCCTTGTCAGCTTGCCCAGAATTCTTTGGTTGTGCTAGATGGCCTTATAAATTCTCAAGACAGACCGAGAGATAAACAGACAAGGGATTTGTCCTTCAGCAGCCGTCTTATCACTTAATTTGGACGGAGAGGGGAAGGAATGGGTCCAAGGTCAACCAACTTGGCTGCCACTCCTAATGGAGTATTTAACAGGGGCCCACCAAACTTGGCAACTTTAAGACTTGTGGATTTCAACTCCCAGAATTCCTCAGCCATAGCTGGTTGAGGAATTCTGGGAGTTGAAGTCCACAAGTCTTAAAGTTGCCAAGTTTGGAGACCTCTGGAGTATTCAACCCTTGACCTTCCTACTCTTAGTCTACTGCCTTTACCATTAGACTGCATGAACTCTAAGAGATCTGAGAGGAAAGGAAGAGGCCAAAGGCTTTATGGCACAGATGTCAAAGTCGATTTCATTGAGGGTCGTGTTGCAGGTCCCAGGATCATGTGATGCTCTTTTGCGGCCTTCCGATAAGCAAAAGCCAACGGGGAAACCAGATTCGCTTAACGACCGTGTTAGTAAGTTAGCAACGGCAGTAATTTACTTAACAACCATGGCAAAGAAAGGTCGTAAAATGAGGCAGAACTCACTTCACAAATGTCTCGCTTAGCAATAAAACTCTCGGGCTCAATTGTGGTTGTAAGTCGAGAACTACCAGCCTGTAATAGTAGCCATGTGGCTAGGTACCTTTGATTGTCCATCGGGGGTCTCATAACTCAACAGATACCCCTCGGAGGGGGCACCAGGGGGTGACCAGGTGAGACGCACACTGCGGGGGAAAATATCCGTAGCATGCAGGTCCCGGGGCCCATCTGCTCCTGCAGGAGGAGGAGGAGGAAGGTGAGAGTTTAAAAAAATGAACAAAATTGTACAATTATGAACTTAACCTTACCTTGTGCTATAGAGCAGCAGAGAAAAATCTGGTGCTTTGGAAAATAAGTTGACCTCCTCTTCTTTGTGGCAGCTTCTCTAATACTGGAATATTGCTATCATGTCTTCCCTAGTCCTATTTTTCACTAGACTAGCCATACCCGATTCCTGCAACCGTTCTTCACCTGTTTTAATCTCCAGGCCTTTAATCATCTTAGTTGCTCTTCTCTGCTCTTTTTCCAAAGTCTCAACATCTTTTTTTTTTTGTAATGTGACCAATTTGGATGCAGTATTCCAGGTGTGGCCTTACCAAGGATTTATAAAGCGGTACTAATACTTCACAGGGGACGCAGTGGCTCAGTGGCTAAGATGCTGAGCTTGTCGATCAGAAAGGTCGGCAGTTCAGCGGTTCGAATCCCAAGTGCCACGTAATGGAGTGAGCTCCCGTTACTTGTCTCAGATTCTGCCAACCTAGCAGTTCGAAAGCATGTAAAAATGCAAGTAGAAAAATAGGGACCACTTTAGTGGGAAGGTAACAGCGTTCCATGGGCCTTCAGCATTTAGCGATGCCGGCCACATAACCACGGAGACATCTTCGGACAAGCGCTGGCCCTTCAGCTTTGTAACAGAGATGAGCACCGCCCCCTAGAGCTGGAAACGACTTGCACTTATGTGCGAGGGGAACCTTTACCTTTACGAATACTTCACGTGATTTTGATTCTATGCCTCTTTTTAAGCAACCAAGGATTGCATTAGTTTTTTGGGGGGAAATCACATGTAATAACTGTGGCAAAAAAAGTCATAAAATTGGTTGCGGTCATGTGATGATCACTTATTGACCATGCCACTTAACAATGAATTTTCTGGTTTTAAGTCAAGGGCTACCTGTAGACATTTCTTTTTACTCTTTAGGATCATCCCTATTGACTCCACTATTCACTCTGACTGATGGATTGATCGACCATATACCATCAAGGATTGAGTCTCAGCAACCACATAGATGCATCTTTCCAGCAGGGTCTGGCATTTCGAGTCTTTCAGTGGTGCACCTACTACCACCACTGTAATGAAGCCCATCCACTCACCAGTGGTGAAAGTAGCGCTGATGGGTGAACTTCGGTTTCCTTCCTTTTCCCCGTAGACATTGGCCCAATATTCCATGTCCCTTTGTAGCTCTGACAACTGAAGCTGGACACGATTTCCTGGAACTGATTCGGAGACCTGTGAGCCTGGGGGGTGGGGAATGGAGAAATAGGTAAATACAGAGAGGAAATCTATTCCTAGTGTAGCCTAAGCCAAACCAAATCAAGAGTCTAGGACAGGAGTCTCCAAACTTGGCAAATTTTAAGACTTGTGGACTTCCGCTCCCAGAATCCTCCAGCCAACTGTCAACTCTGAAGTGAACCTGGCTGAAGCCATCTTTTGCTGCCTCATAGTTGCCACGAAGTCTGGAGGTGGGGGAGGGAAGGGAGGTAGATAGACAAGACTAGCAGTCGTAACAAAAAGCTTCCTCGTGAGTACCAAGGTCATCCCAGCAGGTGGCAGTTGGAGGAGAAGAGGAGTGACCAAGGAACCCGCCGAATGCCTTATTCGGACAATATGACCGGTGACATTTGGGGAGGGGAACAATTCCTCTTTTAGTTATGCTACAAACATGGGAAAACTTTCAGAGTTGGTTTTCACTAGCTGGGCTGATATGATGCGCTCAATAAACATGTTCTTTGAGGGATCTGCCTGCCTCAGAGTTCTATTTCCAATGGGCGCGTTACTCAGAACACTGACACCAACATGGCTGTCTGGAAAATTATGGGAGTTGAAGTCCAGTTTGGGGGGGGGGGGGGCTGGTCTAAGAAGAATGGATAACAGAGTACAGAAGGCAATAAGATGAAAATATAAAGACACAAGATTAAAATATTGTAGGAAAAGAAAAATCTAAAGCAGCTAGATCTCCTTTATAGCAACTCCATACATGCCACCTCTCAACAGCTTCCTATCCTGGCATCCAGAGGACACTACATAATTTCATCCATTACTTTCTCCTCTCTAAACTTCTCACTGCTCTTTCTGGGGACCTCATTACCTCCATTCAAACACGACTTTTTCAAAGTTCTTTGCTTATAGATTCCTCCTTTTACACAACAGTTTTCAATTTGGTCCTCATTCAAATAACCTTTCATGCCATTGTCGGAACTTCAGAACCAAGTCATAAATACCTTTTGGGAGGGGGTGGGGAGGGTATCATAATTTTGAAAGATTGCTCAGTGATTGGTCATTAAGCAAGGAATACCTGCGTTCAGAGTTCAAGTGGGCACATATAGAAAAGCACAGAGATGTCCTGGCAGGAGGAACGTGAAAGCATTGAGCGAAGCAGAAGAAAGGATGAAAAAGAAACTGAAGATTGTTGACACGCTCAGGAAAATATCATATTTTAAATTACAGCATGGGGGCTGCGGTGGCTCGCGTGGTAGGATATTGGTCCTGTGTACCACTGAGGTCAGCAGCTCGGTGGCTCGATTCCCGTGAGCGACTAAACCGCGGAGGGACAAGAAAGGAGCCTCCCCCGACTGCCTACCGGCATTCAGGTGTCCCGTGGGTAAAGATAACACTGCCTGAAAAAATTCCTTTCACAGAGGCAGCCAGCCACCTCAGTGATCCTTGGCGAACACGTGCCATACGCTAAATAAATAAATAAATTAAACTAAAGTGGTCGCAACATGGTGTGAGACCACATTTACATTGGTAAGAGAGTTAGCCTTTTTGGGAATGAGGCATGATCTCAAAAGGCAGGTTTATGGCCAACTGACTGACTCCACATGCTTCACAAGCTCTTATTTCTTACCGGTGCCAGTGATAGGTCCGTACGTGACAATGTAGTTGTTCATCTCAGCCACAGCGGGATGCCACGTCAGCATGGCGGAGGTATCAGTTACATTGATGGCCCGCAAATCGGAAGGCCCATCTGGCACTGCGAGTTAAAGAAGGAGAGGATTGCCTGAATGTTTCCCCCAAAAGGGACTCCCTACTCCAGAGTTCCACAACCTTTCTGGGTTGGTGGCCTGGAGCAGGGTGGGGGAGGGGGAAAGAGGGGATGGTTTTGTAGGAGAGGCAGGCCCACGTGTGTGCGCAGACACACACAACATCGTGGCAATGCTCACACAAGTGGGACCGCCAGTTCCTGCAGTGAGGTTTACATATGTGGAACTGCGACCGCCCACGATGGTCACATGAGGAAGACTGCGATCGCCCGCAGTGGTGCTTGTGCGAATGGGGTAATAACTGCCCACGACGATGCTTGTGTGAGTCGGGCTGTAACTGCCCGCGATGGTTGTGCTGATGCTCATGTGAGTGGGATCGAGTGCGCGGCCGAGCATGCAGCAGCTTAGCCACTCACACTGCCTGTTAGAGATTAGGTCACGGCCAGGCTGCGGCCCACAGGTTGGGGACCCCCTGCCTTACACTGTGGAAAAAAGACATGACCCTCTGGAAGGGCACAGTGTGGTATATAACCACCACCTATCTCCTGTCAGCAACACTGTTTACAACACAGTCCTTTCGGTAGTACCAAGAAGGTTCTGCACCTATTTGCCCTCAAAGGCTCCAATGACTCTCAGGCAGCCAATGACCAACCTTCAGAGTGCTAAGGACAGGTGACTGCTAAGAATATACATCCTTCCATTTCCCACCATTCTGCCAGAATCGAAGAAGCTTTCCGGATGAGAAGCAAAATGTTTTCAAGGGAAAAAAAAAAAAAACCCAAGAAAGTCCAGTTGCCTTTTGAGCAGCATCTTTGGGATAACCATGACCTGGATGACTGAGAATCTCCATAGACAGTGTGGTATAAGAGACCTTCACAGATGTGGATCCTTGGGCAAAGCTAGATCAGTGAAATATAGTGGCCTGGTATTTGGGGTATTGTCTGTTTCCCGACTTGGCTTACCTCGAAGGATTGGCACTAAATGAATCAATAAGGGAATCAATCAATACGGTAATTAATCAATAAATAAGTAGATCTGTTGCTAGATAACATTTAAGCTTCTTGCCCTCATGAATTACCTGTAGTGATGTAGCCTACCAATGGCTCGCTCTCTTCAAACCCACGGATAGACATTACAGTGACCTCATAGCTGGCTCCAGGAGTCAGATCCTCAATGAGTGTCCTGAGTTCAGATCCATCCACTGCAATACTTTTGGGCTCCCCTGAAAACAGGGGGGAAAAAACAGAGCTGATATTTTTGCCTCAAATGTTATGAAGTGCTGGATAGATATTTGATTTCTTGACGCAGTGCTCTCCAATGTGATACACGGCTTCTTGAACTAGCACGGGAAAGGCACAATGTCAGCTTTGGAAGCCATATTAGCACCAGAAGCTTCCATCGCTGACAGGATTTTTTTTCTCCTGTCAGCTTTGGAAGC